ATTACACCGGAGAAGAGCCCAAATCAATGGTTGGTTTGACATGGGATCGATAAAGAAATCGATGAGGAGATCGAACACGGAACCCACCGAAATCGGCCCAGAACCAATTACCAAGAACCTGGGAACCCGGAACGGGGAACCCGGGAACCCAGCCGACCACCAAAATCGGCGGGGAACTTTCGCCAAATGTTTCAATTTCTGCTAGGACCCCTTCAGTGCAAGCACTGATTGGGGAATAAGCGAGTTGGAGACCATTTTTTATTTCTCGGGGATAACGCGTACTACCAAGGAGGCAGGGGACGTGGGGGGGGGGTAACGGTAACTGGGGCCGCGGCGCGCACCCCCTGAGGCGCGCCGCCTACGTCGTCGTCGTCGTCGCCGCCCAAGCCCACAGCGCCTGCGCACACAGCGCGGGCTCTGTACAATGCCTTTGTGCACCAGGGCTTGTACAGAAATCGTTTGTGTGCACCACGGCGACTGTGTACACCATAACAACCGCGTGCACCACGACGCCTTTGTACACCGCGCGATCTGTGCACACCACGGCGCCTGTGTACACCATAGCCGCTGTTTCAGCACCCCCTGTGCACCACAGCGGCTGGGCACACCGCAAAGTTCGTGTACGCCTGAAGGCAGTACCGACGGGGTCAAGCTCTGGAAAATCGTCGGGGGCCCGAACGTATCAAATTCAATATGTAACTCATGTGTGTCTGGCCCGAGGTACGTCCTTGTTTTTGGCCGACCATGCTCGTGTACACCACAGCGCCTGCCTAGCGTGCGCCACGGCGCCTGTCTAGCGTGCGCCACGACGCCTTTGTACACCACAGCTGCTTGTGTACACCGCAGCGCCTGTCTAGACAACAGTGCCTGTGTACACCACAATGCCTGTGTACACGACAACACCCGTGTGCACCACAGCGCCTGTACACTGCGGTGCTTGTGCGCACCACCGGAGCCGCGTGCTCCACAGCGCATGACAAACATTTGCGCCACAACGCTTCCGTGCACCTCCGACGTCCCGCCGGGGTCCAAGTCTGGAAAATCGGCGGTGGCCCGAAAATATCAAGATCAAAATGTAAGTGATTTGTGATGATTGATTTTTCTGGCCCAGGGTGCGGTAACCCCCGTTTTTGGCCGACCATGCTCGTGTACACCACAACTCTTGTCTAGCGTGCGCCCCGACGCCTTTGCATACAACAGCTGCTTGTGTACACCGCGGCGCCTGTCTACACAGCAGTGCCTGTGTACACCACAACGCCTCTGTACACCACAACGTCCGTGTGCGCTGCACCGCCTGTGTACACCACACAAACACACACTGCCTGTGAACACGACGACGCCTAGTTGCACCACGGTTGCTGTTCCAGCATCATACTCGTGCACCGCAGCTCCGGTGCACCAAAATGCTTGTGTACACCACAAGATTGCATACACTTCCAGGGCCCCCAGCAGGACCGAACTCAAGAAAATCATGTGGAATCCGAACGTATCAAATTCACTATGTAAGCTGTTTGTAATGTTTGTGATTATTGATTTTTCTTGCGCAGGGAACGGTCCCGTCTTTTGGGCCGACAGCGCCTGTGTACACCATAGCGAATGTGTGCACAGCAGCGGATGCGTACACCGCAGCGCCTGCGTACACCACAAGGCGTGGTACACCGCAATGACCGTGCACCACAGTGCTCCTGTACACCACCATGCCTGGGATGTCTGCGTGCATGATAACGGATGTTACAGCAGCAGTTGTACACACCACAAAGCCTGTCTTTACCATATTGCCTGGGTGCATTGTACCGCGCGACCTACGTGCAATTATGCTTACGTGTACCACAAGGCCTGCATACACAATAGATCTTGCTGTAACAGCAGCAAATGCGCACACCCAATCGCCTCGCTGCCTGTGCACAACGCAATACCTGTGTACGCGCTGCTCACGTGCACGTCCAGGTGCCTATGGACGTCGTCGGTCGTCGTCGGTCGTCGGTGTCGTCGTCGTCGTTCGTCGTCGTCTATCGTCATCGATCGTCGTCTGTCGTCAGTCGTCAGTCGTCTCCCCGTGCCACTCCAAGCCCCAACGCTTCGCCAACGTGCATCCAAACACCAGCATGCGGTGGCGAACACCACCGCGCCGTTGAACACAACGTTCATGCAAGCTCCCTGCGCCCCCCCCCCCCGGACCTGCACAACAGTTAAATTATCCTGGGGCGGGGAGGGGGGGCGAGCCTGATAGCCCGGGTTATCGCAGGACCCCCCAAAAAATCTCCTGCGTGCACCAAAATGCACGCCCGCGTGCACAACAGACCCTAGGCTGCCCGGGATCGCGCGCTGGATTGGGGCCGGGGCGTTACCGCTACGGGGATGCGTTATCCCTTGGGTGGATGAAAAATTGTCTCTTGAAAGGAAGACCCTTCCCTTGGGTCCCTTCCCCGCCAGGGGGGGGAGGGGGGTCCCGGGGGGGGTTCTGGGGGGTGTCCAGGGTCAGAGTACTGCCCTCCCCCGGGATCCCGGCGGGTCCTGGAGGGATCCCGAGTGGGTCGCCAGCGGGGGTCCTGGGGGAGGTCCCGCCTCCAGGATCGGCGGCACTGGCCGTAAGGCCTTCGCAATACTTGATAAAGGGCCCCCGACCCCAGACTTCCAGCCTGGTCCGCACGCTCTGAAGCGTTCTCTCCTCACGACAAGCAACGGGAAGCGGGGACCAACGGCCATCACAGTCGCTGCTAAGAGCTCAAGAGCACACCTGGATGTGCCCTCGAGCGCAGTGGTTTCAGTGGCTGTAGGGGCAGCAGTTGCAATTGCAGCAGCTGCAGCAGCGTCCGTGTTTCATGGCCTATCGCTCTGCACTTGCAGTGGTTGCAGACGCTGCAGGTGCTTCGAGCACGCCGCAAGGCACGGCCGCGTGCCTGCCAGACTTCGCAGCCTTGGCCCAGGCCGCTGGGATCCGAGAGCTGGGAACGAATGGAGGAAAAGGGACACGAAAGCCACCGGTGATGACTGTACCAAGGCGCTACATGCACGGCAAGACTATTGCCCGCGGCAATGTTTAGGACAATGAAAGGCGATTTGCCTCATTCTACGTAAAATGCCGAACGACATCGGACCCGTCAACTAGTAAACATTGGTGGCCACAGTAAGAGCACGCAAGACAGCTGCGACAGAGCAACGTAATGAGCAGGGTCGCCCAGCACTGGAGGTCAAAAGGGACACATCTCACTGATTCGAATATAGTATGCTCAGGTGGCCAGCATGTCTCCTGCACTGAGCTTGAGAAACACCACTGGCAACCGGGCGATATTTATATGTAATGCAGAAGGCAGACGTTCACGGAGAGCGGCGATGGAGCTACAACCGCTTCAACGCTATGAATTGTGGAGGGAGAGAGAGAGAGAGAGAGAGAGAGAGACCCCCCTTCGGACATCCATGCACAGGGCAGAAGAGCTACGTTAGACTTAAAACCACCCCGCGGAATCCGAGAGCTGGACGCGAGAGGAGGAAGAGAGACATGATAATGAGTAGGGAGGGAGTTGTTTGGAAGGCGAAAAGGGTACAGATCACTGATTACAGTTTGTGTTCGGGTGGACAAAACTGAAACACAGAGAAGAAGGTAGGGCGTTGGAATATTCAAGCGAGATAGATCCTGAGTCTGGCGGCTCCCACAGGGCAGCGGCGGAGATGCCACACACAGCCTGCTTCAGAAGCGCGACTATTGACCACTGGATATCCTAATAAAGAAAGCGAGTGCTCCCAGAGAACGGAGATGGAGTTCATTCCACACAGGCCACTACGGAGGAAACACTGCTATGCATGAAGGAGCGATTGCGAGAGAGACAGAGAAACTTCCCATGCGGACACTAATGCACAGGGGAGACGAGGTACTTGAAACCATCGCGCCACCCCCCATTGAATGCAGGTGCGTAGCATAGGCAAGAGGCGAGGGGGTGAACCAGCGCGGGATGGCGCGATGCGATCCATCGAATGTGCAGCTAGAGGCAACGACTCCATTCAGGCCCTGCCACTTAACAGAAGACTCAAGATGGGGAATTATACGGAGAGATCTGTTTTGGATTGAGTCCACGACGCCACTCGATGCTTGCTTCCCTGTCCTGAGCCAGCAGAAGAGGAATAAGAGGTCAATGCGCATGTCCGAAACAGAACTGAAACTGGCTACTGCGATAAGCTTGCTGAGACGACTTCTGCAGCAACTGATCAATTCAACGGTGATGGCGACCAGTCTAACATCATGCAGGCCAGAAAAGGGTGGCATCGAGCCACGTGATAATCAACTCCTCGCCCATTCCCCCACCCCTTATCTCGCATAGGCTGCAAGCGTGCGCGCCGGCAGCGCAGAAACCACGATCCCGCGAGGAGAAATAGTTGCTTTCTGGCCAGGCGCTGGGACCCTGTTAGGTCCGAGTGTCCACGCTGCACGATTGATCGCAAACTAACACACAAGTGGGCGGTCGCTGTCCCAAGTCTTCGTGTCCACGCCGTTGTGGTGCTTGGTAGCGCGGGTCACCTAGCGAAGGCCCACGCGACACGCTACACGACCTTAGCAGTAAAGGTGTGCCTGCGAATCTCTTCACGAATTGATCACGATCCCGCGTTCGACGCTCATCCTAGTAAGTATGGGGCCAAGTCACAAACATGCGCCACATGAGCGCTAGGGAGCCCGACCGACTCTGGGCTGCTCTATAGGCGATGTAAACCAGAACATCTCCTCAACGCGTGGCCCCTGCGCCCCTCAACCACCAGAGGAAGAGGAGGGGGCAGGAGAAAGGACGGAGGAGGCAGCGCGACTGAGCAATCGCTCGTTCTATGCTGGCCCAGCGCGTGACGGCGCGGCTGGGCAGAAAAGCGTACCCAGGTAGTTATCATTTCGCGCGATGGCTGTGGCACACGTCGGCTTGAAACACTGAGCAGAGCGCCCAGGCTCAACTGGACCAATGTCCAGGACCGGCCTCGGCCTCGGGGGGCCTGCCGTGAGATAAACCCACGCGCCCACGTCAGTCGACGTAGTACTTTGGGGCCGCCTTCTCAAGCATTGCCGCCATTTCCTCGGAGCTGATGTGGGTGGGCACGCACCCCGTGTTCGGCACGATCATGACTGGCCCGCAGGCAGCGTACGGTGTGTGCGGCGGCGTCGAGGCGGCCGCGGAGTCCACCCTCGGCGACTTGATCACCTGCTGCGCCAGCTCGCCGCTGGAACTGTGGCAAAACGGCAAGCTTGTGAGAGGCATTGCTGTCGGCGCCGGCCATGCCGACGCCGACGCGAGCGCGGGCGTCTCATTCTTGACAGCGAGCGCTGATTGTAGCCCACTGGCTTGATCGTCAACCCCGCGCTTGCGCTGCTTTGCCATGGCGGCGAAGTGCTTCATCTCCTTGAATTTCTCCGGCCCGTGGAAATAGTGGCAGCAGTCACAGCTGGCTCCGCGCGGGCACGGAGTGCCACTTCCATTGGTGCGACAGGGCATGCACTGGCCTCTGTGGTGGTTCTTGGACCCGCGAGAGAACACGTCCACCAAGCCCACGGCCAGATCTGCGGTATCAGCGGCGGCGGATGGGTTGGGCGGGGATTGAACAGAGCATTCGGATGCCTGTCCTGCCAATGCGGGGATCCTGGTGTGCCCGTGACCGCGCCTCGGCGTGAGCCCCTGGGGCGGCGGTGGCCGCGCGACCTTGCCGCTGCCGTCCATTTCCGGTGCGTGGACCTCGCGGGGAGCGGCGGCGGGGCCACCAGAGCAGCTCTTGCTCTTTCGGGCGGCGGGGCCCTCGGACAGGAGAACGGCTTGAGCCTCGGCTCTGATCCGCCTCTTGGGCCGTTTGGAGGCGCTCGGGCCAGCCCAAGAGGCCAATCACCAGTATGAAAAAGCATCGGTGTATCACCATTCAAGAATGATCTGCGTTTCGGTCAGAGCGTCCAAGACGCCCCCAAAGGCCCCCAAGATCGCTCCAAGAGGACCTTCGGGCCTGCCAGAAGGCCCAAGAGGGCCCCAGGAGATCCCACAGAGCACGCCACCGCCAAGCCGCTGGAAGACACCCATCCAAGAAGGCTCCGAACTTCCCAAGATGCTCTCAAGAGGACCCGAAGAGGCGCTCTAGAGACCCCCAAGAGGCCTCCAGGAGGTCCTAAGTTATCTTCAATAAGATTATCCCAGTGCGGCCCTACCTGGGAGTTGGAGCCTCTAGGAAAGCAACATTACTAGGAGCGGTAAACGCCGTCCTCCTCCTTATCCTCATCGTCGTAGTTGTAACAGTAGCGGTAGTAGTAGCATGGAACATACGTGCGCACACATATATATATATATATATATATATGTATATATAGTACATATATATAGCAGCAGCAGCAGTAGTGGATGCTGTGCTGCGCTATGCTATGGTTTGCTATGCTATGCTCTGCTATCTATGCTATGCTATGCTGCGCAATGCTATGCTGGGCTAGGCTAGGCTATGCTATGCTATGCTGCGCTATGCTATGCTGCGCTATGCTATGCTTTTGCGTTGCCTTCGCTTTTGCCTTCACTTTTGCCTTTGCTTTTGCTTTTGCTTGGCACCCAGGGAGCGCAACTGGGGGAACCGCGCGTTTGCTTTTACCTTTGCTGTTGCTTTTGCTTGGCTCCCAGGGGACTGGGGGAACCGCCCGGGGCGCTTTCCACTGCCCGGCCCCTTTAAGCTAGAGAGTAAGAACCCTTCTAGGCAGAGCCTAGGTAGGGAAAAAGGCCCCAAGAGGCATCCCAGGAGACACAGGAGGATTCTTGCACACGGCTCAGCCAACGGCCACTAGATACTGTACTCTACACGACTGCGCGCTTATGTGTCTACTCTGCTCGAGGCGGTAGTACTCAATCTGGGTGTCCCCTTCTCATTTTTAACAGGCTCTGGTTAACTCTTCTCTATGGCCTCTTGGAGCATGGTCTGGTTGGGACAATCATGTATACCGCATTATGCCCGATTACTCGACCCTGCTATATATAATCTGCCCTGGTGTGACTGATGTGCTATAGGCACGTCTGGCGAGTGGTGGTCCGAAACAGGGCCAATGTCTCAAAACTGCCAAGAGGGCGGGGGGGGGCTGCGCAAACATAACCATGAGGTAGATCGTTCTACGAGGAAACGCTGAGACAATGGAAAATGTCCCAGGCCCCGCGGCCCGTAGATGGCCCACCGTACGAATGGTCAATCTACCACGCCTCGACAACCACGCCTCGACACAATGAAGAGTGAGCCAGAGTCGAACAGCTCTCGATATGGATTCCTCAGCCAAGTCATCCACAGTGAAAGAGGCTACACTTATGTGCCACTCCTCATTCATCGGCAGTCCAACCTCCGTGCAGAGGCCAATCGTTTGCTTTACGCTTCCAACTTGCAAAGGGGCCCTTCCCTCAGCCGTTCAGGTAAATACGTCGTACGAAGGAAGGTCAAACAACATGTGAACATCCGACATTCGTCCCGAACCATACCGCGGCCTGGATCGGTCTGGACACCTACAGGGGTGTGCATACCTGCGTTTTTCTGAAGCCCGCCGCTCGTATCCCCAGCGAAAACAAAAACATGTTGAGCAAAAGACTCGCGCCTGCAACTCTTCCGTCGGGCCGGCATCGTCGGCAGATCACCCCAGCGAGCTCCTGCTTGACGGGCTTGGTGCAAAGGCGACCTGGGGCGCCAGCTCTGGCGACTGCTGGCTGAGTTCTGGGGAAGCTGCCCTTTCGGAAACAAAGCATTAATGAAGTCAGACGTGGGCGAGGGAAGAGAGAGAAGAGAAATAGCAGCACGGGACGTCATTGCTCAAAGTATTTGTTCCAGCGTAGTTTCTCGTTGAAAAAAAGGAAGAAGAAATGCAACACACACAAGACCTACGCCATGTATGACGCACCGTAGGATCAAGATATGTAATCAAGCCCCTACCGCATAGCACGGCGTCTGCAACACGGCGCCCACACGGCGCCCACGGCACAGGAGCCACACATCCGATTCCTCACCGTACCTTCGGCACATTGTGCGCGTTAGGCATACAGTCACCGTGCTGCCATAAGGCGCGCTCAGTAAGGAACGAAGGGGCCTGCGTGGCCGAGGCCAGAAAACCAGAGCCCCTCCTTCGCCCGAAGCGGTCCTTATTTCAGCGTCTTGGCTGTAGTTTTCCCTGGCTGGTCGGAGTTCTTGTAGACTCTAGTGCCGATCTCCCACCCTCGAGCGCCGTCTACAGAATCCACAGAAATCCCTCCCAATTACCTCCAAGATGTCCTCTACAGCTCCCAAGAGGCTACACGAAGCCCTCCAGCAAGGCCTTACTATGCGAAAAACAACGGTCAAGCGAGGCCATACTCCGCCGGCCCCCTTGTGGGGCCACCAGGCTGCGAGGCGCGTGATTCGCAGTTTCCTGTACCAGTTGTAGTTTCTAGTTTCCAGTGTTACAGTTCTGCTTCTTGCTGGTTACTGGGGCAGGCCCCGCCGACCGTGTCCGAGTACTTCGCGGGCGCCTCTCTCGTGGCCCTGCCGAAGAAGGACGGAGGCCTGTGCCCTGCTGCCGTCGGGGAGGTGCTCCGGCGCCTCGTCGGCAAGTGCCTCTGCCACGAGGTTGCCGACGCCGCGCGCGACCGACTGGCTCCCCTCCAGATCGGCGTCGCGGTCCCTGGCGGCACCGAGGCGGCGGTGCACGTCGCGCGCCAGTGGTGGACCCGCCACCTCGGGGACCGGGGAAAGGTGTTTGTGAAGCTGGACTTGTCTAGCGCCTTCAACACCCTGGACAGGCAGGCTCTGCTCCGCGCGGTCCACGAAGAGTTTCCTGGGCTGGCACCCTGGGCCGACTGGTGCTACTCCCGCCCGTCAACTCTCTTCCTGGGCAAACAGACAGTCCGCTCCGAGTGCGGGGTGCAGCAGGGCGACCCCCTGGGGCCCCTACTGTTCTCCCTAGCACTACAGCGCGCCGCCGAGGCCGCCCTTCGCGCGCCGCGCCACGGCGCCGACGGCGCCGTCGACCTGAGTTTCTTCTACTTGGACGACGGCTGCCTCGCGGGCGACGCGCCGGCCGTCGCGCGCCTCCTCCACTTGCTCGTGGCCAGCCTTGCCGCGGTGGGCCTCCAGCTGAGCACCGGCCCGGGCAAGTGTGAGGTGGTCCCCACTGGCGGAGACGCCTCCGACGTGTCTCTGGACGGCTTCCCGCCGGGCTTCCGCCTCCGCACCGATCGCAGCTTCGAGCTGCTCGGCGCGCCAGTGGGAGACGCGGACTTCTGCGCGGAGCACACCAAGCAGCGGGTCGCGAGCGCCACCGACTTGCTGGAAGCTCTGGGGGAGCTCGAAAACGCGCAGGTCGCGCTGCACCTCCTGCGCCAGTGCGCCTCCTTCTGCAAGCTGGGCTACTCCGCGCGCGTGGTGCCGCCCACCGCGCACGCCGCCTCCCTGCTGGCCATGGACGACGCTGTCCGGGCCTGCCTTGAGCAACTGAGCGGCTGCTCGCCCTCCGACGCTTCTTGGCAGCAGTCTCAGCTAAAGCTCAGGAAGGGAGGACTTGGCCTGCGCTCTGCCGCGAAGCACGCCGCCGCCGCCTACATCGCTTCCAGAGCGAAGAGCACCGACCTGCGTCGGCAGCTCTACCCCGGCTACTCCAACAACCCCGACCGCGACGGAGGTAGCCTGGCGGCTGCGGTGCAGGCCCACAACGCAGTCGTGCGGGACGCCGACCGGGTGGTGTTCGACCACGCGCAGCACGGCAACCAGAAGGCCCTCTCCGACGCGGTGGACAGCGCCTCGCTCGACGGACTTCTGGCGGGCTCCACCCTGGCCGGCAAGGCGCACCTCTCTCTGGTGCAAGCCCCAGGCGCGGCCGCGTGGCTCCAGGCGCCGCCCTGCGAGGCCACCGGCACCGCCTTCCCGCACGGCCTCATGCAGGTCGGCCTGCAGAGGCGGCTGCGAGTCCAGCTCCTGCAGGAGGAGTGCTTCTGCCCAGCCTGTGGCGAGGTGATGGGCGTTTTCTGCGACCACGCCCTGGTCTGCGCCTGCCGCGGCGACCGGACCAAACGCCACAACGCCCTGCGCAACCAGGCCTTCTTCGACGCCCTGGCCGCCGGCCACGCCGGGGCGGAGTTGGAGCGCCCGGGGCTGCTACCCGCGCGCCCCGCCGGGGAGGCCACCCCCGGGGGCGAGCAGGGCGGGCCCCAGGTGGACGACAACGGCCGCCGCCCTGCCGACGTCTACCTGCCGCGGTGGCGCAACGGCACGCCGGCCGCCTGCGACTTTGCCGCCGCGTCAGGGTTGTGCGCCGATCTCCTCGCCGCGTCGGCCGCTTCGTCAAGCGCAGCGACGGAGCGGTACGAGGAGTTCAAAAGGCAGCACCAGGACACCGCGCGGCTCTGCGCGGCACAGGGCTTCACTTTCCTCCCCATGGTGGTGGAAGCCCACGGCGGCGGGTGGGGCCGCGAGGCACGCAGGGCCTTCGGGGTCCTGGCCAAGCGGGTGGCTGACGCCACGGGGGAAGACGCCGCACTGGTTGCGGACCAACATGCCCAGCGACTTTCCGTCTCCCTGCACAGGGAGAACGCGCGGGCGGTGTTGCGGCGCCTTCAGACCCTGTCTGGAGGGGCGGGGGTGGCAGCGGCCCGCCTGGCCGCGGCCACGGCGGCCTCCACGGCAGACGCCGTGTGAGGTGCCCCCTGCGCTGCCTAGCGCCCCCCGCCCCCCCCCCCCGCCCTTGCTGGGCAGCGCGGGCGCCCCCCTCGCCCTTTCGCCAACGTCGCGCCGGCGACCCCTCCCACGCGCCGCCCGGCCTTTCCCCGGCGGGGAGGTGGATGGATCCCGCTGAGGGCAATCCCCACCGAGCCGCATCGCGCTGGGTTCGGGCGGCCACCCCGCCCAGGTCGCCGCCGTAGGGTCCGCAGCCTCGTCGCGGGCGGCTCTTCTCTCCCGGCCCCTGGCCCGGCCTGTCTGCTTGCGGCCGCTGCTTTCTCTCCTCCTTGTCCTCCTCCCCCTCCTCCCCCTCCCTTCGCTTCTGCTCGTTGCTTCCCTCCCTTTCCTTTCCTCCTGCTCCCTGCCTGCTGTCTCCGCCTGGCCCGTCTTCTGCCTGCCCGCCCGCCCCGCCGGCCCTGGCCTCCCGCCTGGGCGTTCGTCGTCGTCTGCCTGCTTCTCCCCTCCTCGTCCCCTTCCGCCGGACAGCACAGCCTGCCCGGAACCAGCGTGGCGGCATATAGGGGCCTGACGCCGTTTATGTTAGCATCGAGGACGATTCTCACACGGAGTTGGCATTTTGGAGGACATCGGCCTAGCATCAGGATTTTGACGAGAGAGAGACTGGCGAGAGACATCTCCAGATTTCGCCGTTTGGGCGAGCGCGCTGTGATCTGGACAGAGCCCTGCTGGGGGTTCTCCTTTTTTCGGCTTCCCCACGCTCCAAGACGGCGGTCTTCTTGGTGTCCGAAGCCGCCCGGGAGGCTGGTTACTGTAACTAGTTGACTTCTTGCTGGTTACTGTAACTAGTTGATTGACCGCGCGAGGGGGGGGAGGCCCAAACAAGACTTTCCAGCGTCCCCTGGGCGCGTTGTCAGAATTACTGGGGGGGCTCGAAATCGACACCCCTCACGCAGATCCGCGGGGTCAGGGTCCAAAAACACATGGGATTTGCCACATTTCTGAAATTCGGTGCCACCGGAGGGGCGTCTTTCCCAAACCAAACGGGTCTTCCCAAACCAAACTTGGGCTTGGGTGACGTAGGCTTTGGTTTGGGGAGACCCGGTGTGGTTTGGGAAGACCCGGTTCGTTTGGGAAGACCCGGATGTTGGTTTGGGAAGACCCGGTTGGTTTGGGAAGACCCGGTTGGTTTGGGAAGACCCGGTTGGTTTGGGAAGACTCGGGCGCGTGGTTTGGAAAGACCCAGTTGGTTTGGGAAGACCCGGTTCGTTTGGGAAGACCCGGGGGTTCGGGAAGACCCGGTTGGTGTGGGACGACACGGAGGTTGGTTTGGGAAGACCCGGTTGGTTTGGGAAAACCCGGGTTTGGTTTGGGAAGACCCGTTTGGTTTGGGAAGACCCGGTTGGTTCGGGAAGACCCGGTTGGTTTGGGAAGACCTGGTTGGTTTGGGAAGACCTGGTTGGTTTGGGAAGACCCGGGGAGTTGGTTTGGGAAAACCCGGAGGTTGGTTTGGGGAGACCCGGTTGGTTTGGGAAGACCCGGGCGCGTGGTTTGGGAAGACCCGGTTGGTTTGGGAAGACACGGTTCGTTTGGGAAGACCCGGGGAGTTGATTCGGGAAGACCCGGTTGGTGTGGGACGACCAAGAGGTTGGTTTGGGAAGACCCGGTTGGTTTGGGAAGACCCGGGTTTGGTTTGGGAAGACCCGTTTGGTTTGGGAAGACCCGGTTGGTTCGGGAAGACCTGGAGGTTGGTTTGGGAAGACCTGGTTGGTTTGGGAAGACCCGTTTGGTTTGGGAAGACCTGGGGAGTTGGTTTGGGAAGACCCGGAGGTTGGTTCGGGAAGACCAGGATGTTGGTTTGGGAAGACCCTGTTGGTTTGGGAAGACCCGTTTGGTTTGGGAAGACCCGGGGAGTTGGTGTGGGAAGGCCCGGTTGGTTTGGGAAGGCCCGGACGTTGTGGTTTGGGAAGACTCGATTTGTTAGGGAAGGCTTGTGTGAGTTTTGGGAAGGCCCGGGGCTGTGGTTTGGGAAGACGCGGTTGGTTTGGGAAGACCTGGCCGTTCG